AAGCAGAGAAAAGGGGAAGCAGTTCACCAAGGTATAGTTATTAAGAAGGGTGTGGGGGTTGGGGGTGCAATTCCCTGCAATAGCAAAGAACATAAATGTGTAAATGTGTCCAGCCTTGATTGAAAATAGGCATTTGGTTGTAGCTTTAAGAAACTCTGAGCCAATGTATAGGTGAACTTGCTCCCAATTTAGTCATTGTTTTATATATCACTCAATATTGCTACTCTTATAGCTTAGAACAGGAACTGATATTTAGAGTCAGCTAGAGCACTGGCCTTACACAATGAGAGCCCCACATTTACCTGTCTGCTCACATTCTGGATGATACATTTACACCTTAAGTTGGCCATACGTGTTCGATTCTTGGTTGGTTCAGCAGGGATCGGCTGAGATTTGAAGCATGCATGGGCACGCTGATTGTACCCATGGTGATCTATCGATCGACTTGGGTAAAACCAGCATGTTCGATTCTTACAAATGATTAATGCTAGTGGCTATAGCTTAGAACAATCTCATAACACCAGGAACATCCAAGGCCGTGCACACATCCAGTGTGGTGCCCAAGCTGTATCCTACAGCATTCAAAAGGTTCGCTAAATTAGGGAGTTAAAACAAAAACTCATCCCTTAGCTGACATGACCACTCCTGAGTCTGATAGGTCAATTCAGGAGACCCCACAAATATTCCTTATGGAGTCCTTTTTTCTGCATCCTTTCCAGAGCATTGAACCAGTGAGACATTGGGGTTGATATGCTAAAACTGGAGAGTGCAAAATTTACTGCAGCTATGTATGGTAGCCTATTAGCTTCTAACTTCAGCTTGTTTGGTTAAGCTTTGGAAACAAAATGGAAGCTAAACCAGATTTTGCACTCTCCTAAGTTAGTAAATCAACCCCATAGTTTAATCTTCTAGTGTGGCTAGCTTTATGCAGCCTCTTTGCACAACACGTAGTGCCCAGTATTCAATTTCCCCTTCATCAACACTCAATTCCCATGCCACATTTTTTTGATAGCAGTGTTGGAGACAATGGAAATTCAATTGTCTGCATTGTCAGAAACTTTCACTGAACTGTTCAAGAGTGGAACAAAACAACAAGGTAGGTTATCTGTGGCTGATACCTTGTTTGGTATATGATGAGAATATTGGACGAATCATTATCTTTATTTTTGCATGCTAGTCTCATATCAAAAGTGAAGAGGTTACTAAAGTTACAAAAATTATTGTATGACAGAAAATTCAAAACTGATGTAATGTATTTGTACTGTATTTTTCAATGAAAACGGTACCGATAAACAAACATTGTAGGATCTGGTATCGTATGAGAAAAACTTTTGTGCTTGTCCCTTCAAATAATTCTGGATGAAAGCTGTGTACTAATGATCAGCTTATCATACGATTGCCTCGAAAGCGGTAATTTTTGTATGATTTTCCGATCGTGTGTACTAGGCTTAACAGTTCCACACACATGATTTCACAGACTCTGGAATTCCTAAGGCTAGAACGGGGCACTCCTTGCTCCCCCAGAGCACCTTATCCTCTCTTGTGTTCACATGTTACTTTTCACTGCTACTACAGAGCTACCCTCATCTCTAAGTCCTTTCTCTTTTTTTGAGGGGGGGGGGGATCTGGTAATCTTGTGTCTGTAAATCGCTTTAGGTCAGCAACTTTATATAAGAACAAAGTTTTCAGCTGCTGATTAATTGTACTGGCAAAGCTGCAAAACAGCAGTTTCTACAATGTCCCATGTGCTGAAATGATGGAAATAACAAATTGGCATGTTTTTAGCTAGTACTAAATTCTGAACAATACATGGCTCAGACAGTGAAGAACCTTTGATTAATTGAACAAAAGAAGTCTGCTAAATATTGATTTTTAAATAAGAACTGTTTTAGTATGTCAATTTAAAATCCATCATAGCATCAGCAACAATAGATATAAACCGATAAGCAGATAGCAATTATAATGAAGCCATTAACCAGACTAAATCTATCATTCATGGTCTAAGTCAGTCTCCTATCATCTCTCACTTTATTGTGGAGTAGCGGCAGCTCCTAGTTCTCTTCCTGGCACCAGAATGGAAAAGACAGATGACTGAATCGATGCTTTTTAGCTGTGTGATGAAACTTGACTATCAACTCAATCTATGAAAATGGCACTTTGAACAACTGTAATTATCATCCCAACATGTTCATTTAACAGAGTTTGTTTCAAGTACAATTTATTGCTGGTTTAACCGCTAGCCTTTAGAGAACATGCTAATTCTGGCTATTTTCTGAAGTAGTGAAAACTGTACACTTCCTTTGACATTCCACTGATGTGTTCGGCAGAGCTGTAAAATAACAAGAAAGTTAAGATCAAATAGCTTTAGAAAGTAGTGTGTGATGGGTCAATGTGACATACACACTTGTAAAAGTTATTTACAGGGATGATCAAATATTGCTTGACTCTTCTATGACAGTTCTGTAAAGTAAGAGGACTAGAACTCTAGGAGGTCAAACTCTGCATTTTAAGACTGGTACTAAAAGAAACATGTGGACTTTCACTGCTGAGCTCTTTCTAAAAATGCTAGTCGTCTGGCAGTCACATTAAGCCAGTGTCATGGCCCCAAGCCAAGTACAGAGATAAGGAATTTTGTATGGTTTCCAACTTTTATCTTCTGCATGATAGATCTGGGTATATAATTAACCAACAAAGTTAGAAGAATTCCTCTCATAGACACAACTGGTGCAGCTGTACATGGTAGCCTCTAAGCAAAATGCACGTTATATTGTTTTGGTGCACTGCCATTGACTCCTATGGGCCTCCAAACTCACTAGAACATTTCATGAAATGCACTGCATTGCAGCACTGAGATATTAATAAACACTATCTTTATTAAGGAGAAATTTGGCATTTTAGAGCATTGCAATGCACACATTGCAACACAACAATATAAATGGACCTTAAATGTTTAGTAGATTGTTTGAACTCTCTTTGTGAGATCTTTGAACTTTTGTCCTTTTTCTTGTAGTTCCATTCACACTGAGCCCAGGGAGCTCCAATGTCACAAGTTCAAAAACAGTCACACCCTGCAGAGAAAGTCAGGTACAGAGAGGATCAAAAGTAATGTTGGATTGGATTGATGTGCCATGATGTAGGTCTGGGCAGTTGAAGTCATTATTATTAGTATGTTCAAATAATCTGTGTCCTTTATGAAATACTGCATATTTAGGATATAGTTTTGACTGTAACTAATTTCAAACCAAATAAGAAAAAATGTTAAATTAAAAAAGTACTATATAGTAAAAAAAAAACACTTTCAACGGAGAATCAAGTAGATATTTCTTTAGGGTGCATATGCACATTAATAGATTACTGTCCAGATCAACAACAATCTAATTGCAGTGATACTCGTGCATATGGAGATTGACTGTGTTGGATATTTTCAAACAGGCACTACAGTTTTCACTTGAGATACACTAGTGCCAGAGTTGCCTTGATGAACTTCCTTACCTTCCTCTATTGGCATGAACATGAATGCTTGGCTGATCAAAGCATGCATGTTTGTGAACCAGGCTTTAAAAAAAAAAATCTTCATCTTTCATTTGTTTAAGCTGACTTTAAAATATTCCAGAGCCGATATGCCTGTGTCATATCACAATTTATGACTGCTCGATCGTACACAGTTTCACACTGCAGATCATAGATATCAATTCATTAATAAGTATAGACTATGACTGTTTACTTTGTTAATTAAAGTTTGAATGGAGTCAAGCAAACGCAATATGTGATTAACCTGCTAAATCTAGAAAATACAATCTTTAGTAGAAAGCATAAAGCAACAGTATATGCAAATGTAAAGCTTTTTTTCCTTTAAAAACTCGCAGCCAAAATGTTTTAGAGTACAGGTAAGGATTACAACTCCTTTCAAACTTTTATTGTTCTCTATGTCTTTGTTAGAGAGATGTTCTCTCTCTTCCTGCCCGAATGGCCAAACAGGAAATGAGGCCTTTTCCTATAGGTTTCCTTATTGCCGTTTCTGTCCCCACTAGAAACCTTTCCCACATCTGTTGCAGTGATCACCACTAAAAAGATTTGTAAGCATTTTTTTTTTAATTCTCTATGCAATAACAAGTGCTTCAGTCATAAATGTTTGCCCACATTTTGGACCTCATGAAACGGCTGCCCAATTGTTAAAAGTAGTTGGACTGGGATTGGGTTGTGTATAGCCATCTCAGAAAATTCAGAATGGCCAGTTGTGAAGAAACAAACACTTATTGAGCCAGGGTTGATGGACTTCAATGGCAAATGTAATGTGATTTGGACATTAGTTTGAGACACATCTGCGTTCATTCAGAATTCATTGCAGATGCATATGACCTGCATTTGACCTGTTTCATAGGCGTTTAGATTCCCATAGACTTGTATGGGCAGTGAAGCAGTTTTGAAGGGAATAAAAGCCATTACAGTCAATACAGACCTATAAAGTGTTTGATTTTAAATATACCAGTTTAACCAGTTTTTGACCACACTATAGCATAAAGACAGCTACAGCGCAGTCGTCCAATTCTGGAAGGGCATCCATAAACATCCTTCCAGAACCAGGCCCCCATATGCCAGCTGTGGAGCACATCCGGCACATTCTGTGATTGCTGTGTCCTTCGGACACAGCTGGCCACAGATCGGGGTAAAGAGCCAATCATATCAACCCTTTGCCATGTGATCAGCTATGTCCAATCAGAGCTGATCCCAATGTACACATACTTGCCGTTTTTGGCAGTACTTGCCTCATACTCTGTCACAGTGTGAGGAGAGGAGTTCTGGTAACCCGAAAGTATGACAGGGGCATGTACACAAATAATCAGGGCACTGATCATCAATGCCCCGATTATCAGTGCAGCCCCATCAGTGTCAATCAGAGCCCATCTGTGCCACCTATCAGTGCCTCCTAATCAGTGACCCCTATCTGTGCTGCCAATCAGTGATCATCTGTGCCATCTATCAGTGCTCATCAGTGCGACCTATCCGTGCCTTCTATCAGTGCCACCAATCAGTGTCCATCAGTGCAGCCTATCAGTGCCCATCAGTGCAACTCAATCAGTGGACATCAGTGAAGGAGGAAAAAATACTTATTTCCAATAGTTTATAACATAAACCAAGAACTTTTCTTTTTCAAAATTGTCTGGTTTTTTTTCGTTTGTATAGCAAACAATAAAAACCCCAGTGGTGATTAAATACCATTAAAAAAAGCTCTTTCTGACTCAAAAAATTATGCTAAAAATTTCCTTTGGGTACAGTGTTGTATGACCATGCAATTGTCATTCAAAATGCAACAGCACTGAAAGGTGAACATTGGCCTGGGCAGGAAGGGGGTGAAAGTGCCCTGTATTGAAGTGGTTTGGTTAAAGTACACTTTATTATATAGTATATTCATCAGTGCTTTTAATGTGAGCGCAATGTTGTGTACCTTTACCTCTTAGCTCATTTCTGCAGTCAAGATGTGAGAAAAATGAGTAGCTGGGGAAAACTTTTCCACACTCCTGAGTTGCATCTTACCTCTTTACCTGTTTTTGAGGACTAAATTAAAACTACCGTATTATGATTATGTTAAAAAACACCTCTTTATTGGATTGCTGCTAATAGTGGAAAAACAAATAGTGGCTGATAATTACACAGGGAAAATCTGTCTCTTGACCTCTGCTACCTAACTACTGTGGCTATTGGTAAATCTGACCATGACAATATTTTTCATTCAATGTGCACTCTTGCCTGAGCATGTCAAAATAATTTACTTTATATAGTGCAGAAGTTCAACCTTCTCACCTGTTTGGCTCCAATACAAGAAACAATTGACTATTAATCAAATTTCCCCACCAAACTGAGAATGTTTTTCCTTTATGGTGGTATAAACAATCTAAATGTAATTATAATTAAGCTGCAGTTGCAGGCATCAGGCTATCTATGCCACCTTTTCTCTGAAGAAATCTACTCCTCTCTGCAAAAAAATAATATACTCCAATCAAATACAGTAAGTGAACAGGAGTTTTCAGTATTAATTACAGATATGAGATGCATGGGTGGTAACTTTGTATAAGAATAAGGTCTTTTTAATGAAACAAAATAAATGCATAGATTGAGTACATTGATTGAATAGCACTTTTGGTTCTTGTGATAGACGTTTCTACAGCAATTCTGCATGTAACAACTAAACTCTCAATGGATATTTTGTTCTAAACCACACCTGTACATTTTAATTAATACATCGAAAGGTCCTTTTTATAGTGTCACTAGAGAAGTCATGCTTATCAAGATACTGCTGTAAAACTGAATTTTCCAATGAATAAAGTGGTCACACAAGTACCATTTCAATATCCACTTCTGATTTGCATCGTCTGGCCTTTCTGCTGTTAACTTTCTTGAACAGATCTTAAGTGTTGCCAGATGGGTCTGAAATTTAATAACCATGGGGGTCTTTTTAACAAAGGCAGATGATGATCAGAATTGCAAAAAATTTACAATATTCATTACCTTTTCTAACTGAAAATGTCTCTATGTTCAAATAGAATGTCTGCCTTTAATGTTCCCTGACATTTGCTTCATTTTCTTCTTACTAAAGTGACAGGGAAAATTAAAGCAGCTTTTCATAACCAGTGCCATGCTTTTGAGTGTCAAATAAAAGGTTTGCATTTCAAAATAGGCAGTGCACTAGGTAGTTTCCAGTGAAAGTATTAGCTTTATAGATTTGTACATTTCCAAAAGTTAATTTGCTGAGAAAATTCTCTCTTTTCCAAGCTGTAGGCTGCATGGTGTTGCCACACCACTATGAATGTCATCACACCTTATGTACTGAGAATTAGGAATGCAGAGTGATGTGCTGATAATTTGCTCATTTGCATATGCTCTAGAGTAGGAACCTAGTGAGACATCTGGCAAGGTTCTCTTATTTGCATGGTAATTTGTGTTTGTTGTGCTTCCTATTTGTGCAGCACTCCATAATTTGTTTCCAGTGCTGGGCTGTTTTTACCACTCATCACCTACAGCTTCACGCTGTATAGCCTAATCCCTCAGAAGTCTAATTATGAGGGCTCCAACTGTCTCTTGACATGTACTGATAAGTTGTAGTTATACAGCAAGTAAGAACTTTTTTTTACACTCCAGTTGAAGAACTTGGAAATAATCTTGAAGGGTGTGGAAAATATCAGTCTTATGGGTTTATTCAATAAAAGCATACAAAAAGCAGTGATCATCCGCTGTAACTTATGCCAACAAATCAAATTTCCATTGGCTAACTGAATAGTAACCGACACAAAGACTACTGAAATTTCAGTTCATTTTAGGCAGAAAGAGAAAAATTTATTTAATTTGGGCAATGTTTGTTATCGTTCTTTTTATTACAGTCCAATTATAGTCTTTTTGAGAACTAAAAAAAAATTGAGGGTGAATGAAAATCTACCTTTTTAAATATTTTATTGGTATTTTATATTAATTTGCGTTCCATTGCCAACCTAACATTCATAATCCCATCAGGAGGGTGAAGATGAAGACTGCTGCGCTCTCTGTGAGAACAGTGGTCTATCTCCATCTGTCCAACATGCCTTCTCTGTTGTCAAAGCTACTGCTCTGCAATCAGCGATGTTCACACTCTCTGCTAAGGGATAAACCTTTTGGTTAGTGCACAGCATTTTCTAAAGTTATGTGAATGTTGAAGCTCAGAGTAAATAAGTGCATGTAACATGTACACCTTTAATATAATTATTTGATTTAATTTATACATATTAAATTGTATAAATTGTTAATCTGCTTTCTGTTCGGAAATTAGTAGTCAGAGTGTTAAGCTATTCATATGCAAGAGATCATTTTAGAGATAATATTCATATTTGTCATTATAACTTGCAACATTGCTATCACCACAATTATTCATGGATAAAGAAGTGGATTTCCCCTATGGGATCTATATGGGTCTGCTATGTATGTATACAACCTTACTGAGGATTGAGGGACTCTCTTGTGCTTAAAGTAAATCGTAACCGCTGCTTCCTTTGATTATATAAGTGTATTGTTCTGGTCATCTACTTATATTTACCTACTGGCTGTCCCTTTGCCGACTGTGCAATAGCAGCGTGCCGTTTTACTTGATATCTCTGTGACTATCATCTATATATGATGATACTTGAGGATTGCTCTCCATGAGATCACAAGGGTCCACCATACATGCATGTGACCCCCCATGAGGACTGATTGGGACTGCCTCTACTATCCAGTAGCTCGATTCTGCCTGCCCCTTGACCACCTTTGATTGACTCCAACGTCTACATTATCCATCCATTATTCTGTCCTCACCCCTTTTTGATCCCAATTAGGTGTCATTGACCTTATGGGTCTGCTATGTATGTATACGACCTTACTGAGGATTGAGGGACTCTCTTGTGCTTAAAGTGAATCGTAACTGCTGCTTCCTTTGATTATATAAAAGTGTATCGTTCTGGTCATCTACTTATATTTACCTACTGGCTGTCCCTTTGCTGACTGTGCAATAGCAGTGTTTTAAGCTGCAGATTTGTTCTCTTGAGGACTTCTCTTCCAGTGACTTCTCCACTCACAGGGTTTCTTTTCTACTAGAGATAATATTCACCTGGGACAGCAGGGATGATGTATTTATATATATATATATATATATATATATATATATATATATATATATATCAGTAATATGGGTGGAGCACACAACGATGATCAATCACAGTGCATAGCAATCAGGCCCTCCCAAAGGCCATATATATAGAGAAAAGAAAATTGGATTGCTGCACATAAAAGACTTTTATTCTTGAAAAAATCACCATACAAAAGTGTGAACCAAAAAAATGGACAAAGCTATACATCATAGTGTTCTACAAACAGTTTTGGGCTATTATGTTAACACCCTTCTTCAGATCAGAACACATATTGAAATACAAAATCTACTTAGATCAATATATACATACATCATAATTGAAATCAATTATATAATTAACCACAAATTGAATCCACATCAGATGAACATCTTCCAATAAAGGTGGTGGTTTACCCTCGCTAGCGGTATGATTATGTCAGTATTTCTGTGCTCAAAGCGGTACATTGTTTCAATGGAAATATGTTGTTTTTTTATTGTAGGCCTGTAATTCTTAGGAATAACTCACTGAAATTTGTTTAAACAAGAGTCTAGTAGACATCCTTGGTGTAATAAAGTTTAATAAATTAAATCATAAATTATAATATAATAATAATAATAAATTAAATAATGTAATCAAATCAAACACACGGAACCCTGTCCAAACAATATTATATAGACACTGCATATTCTAGAAAACATCACAGGTGTGGTTATATATTTTGAAACAGGAGACTGCACTATGTCCGACATCGCAATCAGGACAGTGGAACCTCGTTTCCTTGCGGATTTTTTTCCACTCTCATCTCGCTGAGAGCAACATACTACGCATGCCTTTTTTTGGGTTGGTGGGATGTGGTCCATAAAATGACGTCCAGTCAGGCGTTCTGGGTTGACAACTCCCATAGCACGTCGTCTGGATCTACCCACTGTCTCTTGACATGTACTGATAAGTTGTAGTTATACAGCAAGTAAGAACTTTTTTTACACTCCAGTTGAAGAACTTGGAAATAATCTTGAAGGGTGTGGAAAATATCAGTCTTATGGGTTTATTCAATAAAAGCATACAAAAAGCAGTGATCATCCGCTGTAACTTATGCCAACAAATCAAATTTCCATTGGCTAACTGAATAGTAACCGACACAAAGACTACTGAAATTTCAGTTCATTTTAGGCAGAAAGAGAAAAATTTATTTAATTTGGGCAATGTTTGTTATCGTTCTTTTTATTACAGTCCAATTATAGTCTTTTTGAGAACTAAAAAAAATTGAGGGTGAATGAAAATCTACCTTTTTAAATATTTTATTGGTATTTTATATTAATTTGCGTTCCATTGCCAACCTAACATTCATAATCCCATCAGGAGGGTGAAGATGAAGACTGCTGCGCTCTCTGTGAGAACAGTGGTCTATCTCCATCTGTCCAACATGCCTTCTCTGTTGTCAAAGCTACTGCTCTGCA